GGCAGGACCGAGGGGTCTCGGTTCTCCGGGGGAGACGGAGTTTTTAGGAAAGAGGAGTCAGGTCCTTTGTGATTAGGCACAGATAGAAAAATTACAGTTGCTTTTGGTGGAGATGTGTACTGAAACAATTAAAAAAGAACTACGAGATAGGTTCATTAGTGAACAGAGAAGGAGAAAGAGCTTGTGTTGTGTTGTATTGCTTTTGTTTTTCTTTAGAGCACAGAGTGTTCCCAGCTTACCTGGCAATTAAGGAAAGCAGTTTGGGGACACGTGCAGGTTTTATGCTAGCTTTTTTGTATGAGACTCTTTGAAGCCACCCTGTGCTTACCTCATCTCAGTCAGTTCTGGGAACGTGGCTGCCAAGGTTGCAGGCTGCAGGACCCTCTGGGACCTAGCTCTCCCGCTGTGGCTTTCTTTATTCTCCTTTCAATGAGGGGTTGTGGGTCCTTCCCAGAGAGCATTCCCCGGGTTAGCCTGTGCCTCACGTTACCATTCTGCATACTGAGAGCCTTTTATTCAAGCCGCTGTTCAGCAAATGTCACCATTGTGAGATTGCTTGGAAGGGCTCAGGATGAGGAAAGTGATTTCCCTGTGGGAAGAAGGGAGGGTAGCCTTCCTCCTACATGGTTTGTTGATCCCAGGGCAGTTCAGTGGCTTTGTCAGGGGGCTCTTGCTGAATGAGGCACTGTGGAAAAAGAGGACTGGGTTCTGGTGTGGTGTGGCAGTGTGCCATGTGGGCACCCACAGCAAATTCCTCAGGTTGTGATGACTCCTTCAGTAGGCTCTGATCCCCTTAGTCACTTAAGGGTGATCCCTTTCTTCCTGGCCTGTTTCCCTTTTGTAGCTTCAGGGACGTCTGTGAATATTCTCCTTCCACTGTTGATATGTTTGCTGATATGGTAATGGAGTTTAGAGACACGTACAGCATTTATGATAGCCTTTTTTGTACATGACTCTTTGAAGCAATCCTGTGCTTCAAACGTGTCTGTTGATCTTCAATTCATTCTTCCTTTTAAAAAATTTTTAGAGGGTAGAGAAGTGAAAACTGCTACAAAAATATTTTTACTCATTCATGGAGAAGTCATAAGATTTCAAGAAGAATTTTCTTCATCACAGTCGTGCATGCCCATACACATATGCACACATGTACACTTGTACACACACTCATACCACACATACACTCATATCACTCTCTCTTGCTCTCTATCTCTCTCACACACACGAGAGAGAGAGAGAGAGAGAGAGAGAGAGAGAGAGAGAGAGAGAGA